TATTATTATTATTATTATTATTATTACTTATTACTATTATCATTATTATAATTGTCATTGTTATCCTTCGGCCAATGATCTCAAAAGAAAGATAATAATTGTGTTCGGATGAATGTTACTAAATCTGAGCCGATTTCAATTTTCGTCAATGGCCACAACGGGAAAAGGATCACCGTTTTCGTTTCTACATTCAAATCACGAACTCTACTTCTTCATCGTCTTTTCTTCTTTGTCTACTTTACTATATCTTCTTTTTTTTTGTTTGTTTTTTCCGTTCGTTCCTTCCTTCCTTTTATTTTTATTTCTGGCCTATGTACTCTCTAAACATGTTTATGACGCACACGAAGCGAATTCTTTGTCTACGGTTGCGCTTCGTTTTCGGTTGTTATAAGTTCTGTTACATTTCTCATATGACGCGCGCATTCCAAAAGGTGATAAGCGCGCAATTTTTTAATTCTTTCCTTCGTTTCGATTTATCTCGGATCACACAAACTTCTTCTGACTTCAGAAAGGCGTTGAATGGAAGTGTGATCAGATTGTGAACGTTCCTTTTTTTTTTATCGGGCCATGCATTCTTTCATTGCATAAGAAAGAACATAAAGAAGATAACCGTTCGTATTTCTATAAATCCTATTTATATCGTGTTGTTTTATAAATGTTTATCTGATAGTTGAAAAACCTGACCCATTTAATAATCGGGGACTCGAATTTTTATTGTATTTTCCAGTTAATAAACGCGGACGGGAGCTCTAAATAAAACACGAATAGTTATTTCATTTTGTCCCAGATTTATTGACAAATCCTTTGGGTGAGGACACTAAAAGAAGAAAAAGAGAAAAGAAAAAATAAATGTCGGTTTAATATAATGTAATTCGAAAGTGACCTATTAAAGAATGAATTCAGTTAAAACTGATAGCGGTGCAACGCTGATCAAATTATTCATAAACATGTTTTATCAAACGAGAGTCAAGACATTTTGTCATGTCTTTGTATATTTTTATGCAATGTTGTAGAATGATATTGTTTCAAATATATTATACAGATAATAATAATAAACAAATTTATATGCCATAACTTGCGTTTAATTTGCTTTAATTACCCTATTGTATAATTAAAGTATATTAGTACATAATTTACCTCTCTATTTACAAAATTCAATACTAAAACGATGAAATACGGACTTTAATTCTGTTACTGAATAATTTAAATGTGCGATATGAAAAGTTAAATTATCTTTTAGAAATTAAATATTATAATAGCTTAGTTGGATAATTATAACCTTTGTTACGTTGTCGACAAATGATTACATCAGAATCACATGCAGTAGGGAAACGGAAAAAGTAGGAGCTTTCTGGTCATTTCGAAAGCATGGCTACCATTTACAAGCTAAGACTTGCAATTAAATTTGGAAGAAATCTTGGAATACCACTGAATAGAACCTTTGAAAGGAGAATTTTCGAAAGACAATGTCAGCGTTTTTCAGGTTCGCATATTTTTGTATTATATCTTATTTTATTGTTTCAATTTTTATTGTTTGATGCAAACTTTGAGGTTAGGTAGTCATATCTCTCTCGCACATGAATTAAAGTTACTGTAATATTTCCATTGGTAATTCTATTGTATTATAGACAAATTAAGTATTTAAGTGTAATTCGCTTTTAATCATTTATTTACATTGTGTTAATAACTGAATTTTAAATTTACAGCTATAATAAACAATTCTGTACAAGGATTTTCTTCTCAAGCAGCGACACAAACAACAGAAATACATAATATTATAAAAGATGTGGAAAAACCAACAGGTACTTGTAAAATCTTTTCCTTTATTTACTTATGGATATATATTTCATGCGTAGCTTAATGTATTCTTAATTCTTTTAGATGAAGGTGTTAAACATAAATTTCAATCAGAAACACAGATGCTGTTACAAATTGTGGCCAAATCTTTGTATTCGGAGCAAGAGGTAACTTTATTCTCATTTTATATTGACTTTTAAGTTATGTATTAACTTTTAGAAAATTGGCATCTTGGATGAAATAACATGAGTTTTATATGCTCTAAAGGTATTTCTTCGTGAATTAATTTCCAATGCAAGTGATGCACTTGAAAAGTTACGTTATATGCGTATAAGTGACTCCAAAGTTGCAGAGGTGGCTGGTGATCGTAACCTAGAAATTCATATTGGAACTAATAAACAAGATAGGATTCTTATAATTCAGGATACAGGAATTGGTATGACACGTGAAGAACTAATATCAAATATTGGAACTATAGCTCGATCTGGTTCCAAAGTGAGTTAAAATACAATTACATACTAATTAGTTATATAAATGATATCTAATAGTTTGTTATGATGCTGAAATTAATTCTGTTTATTTTTTTTTCTGTTTTAAATTCTACTCTTTATTACAGGCTTTTCTAGAAAAAATTAAAGAAAAGCAAAATGCTGGTGATACATCCCAAATTATTGGACAATTTGGTGTTGGTTTCTACAGTGCTTTTATGGTTGCTGATAAAGTAGAAGTGTTTACAAAATCGTATGAGAAAGACGCTGAAGGTCTTTGTTGGCAATCAGACGGGTAAAAGAAATATTACAGAATTTATAAATAATTGTAAATCTGTACGCTATGAGAAAATTTGTTATTTCATTAAAATATCTATCTTATTCAGTTCTGACACATTCAATATTTCAAACGCCGAAGGAGTTCAACCAGGGACAAAGATTGTTATACATTTGAATTCCCAGTGTCGACAATTTAGTGACGAAGACACAATTAATCGTATGTAATATTATAACCTTTTCGCGACGGCGAAACTGGGCATCAATGTGCTACCCATAAAAACAATACCTTGCATTTTCGGCGCTCTTCTACGCTTGTACACTAATTATGCTTAATAAAAAGAACTCATAGCATCTTTAGAATATAATATATGAATAATACACTTGGGACAAGATTGTAACTAATTACGATAAGTAATACACTAACTTTAAGCCTGCCGAATGTAACCGGAACTAGCCACTGGGCAGCACTTTTTGGATGCCATCTTTAATTGGCGCTAGTTGCGAAAAGGTTAAAACTTTAGTGAGATTACATATTTTTTAACGAATGATTAATAATAATTTGTGTTTCAAAGGTCTCATCACTAAGTACAGTAACTTTATCGGTAGTCCTATTTATGTTAACGGCAAGAGGGTTAATACTATGCAGGTAAAATTGACATGTTTACATTTGCTTAGGTATTCTATATAAAATGCTGCTGTATTTTTCAGCCATTGTGGTTGCTTGATCCAAAAGAAATTACACAATTACAACATAATGAGTTCTATAGATTTATTGGAAACTGTTTTGATTCTCCTCGATTCATATTACACTATTCAACCGATGTTCCAATTAACATAAGAGCATTATTATATTTCCCGGAACAAAAACCGTCATTCTTTGATTTCGGTAAAGATGAAGTGACGGGTGTCTCACTGTATAGTCGTAAAGTGTTAATCAAAAGTAAAGATATAAATATTTTACCAAAATGGTTGCGTTTCGTCAAAGGAGTGGTTGATTCTGAAGATATTCCTCTTAATTTAAGTCGGGAATTATTACAGAATAGTACTTTAATCAGGTAGGATACCATAAATAAGTTAAAGCATGTAATGATGCCTAAATTTGTGGATGTTGAATGATTTTAGTTTTATTTAATTTTTTTAACTATAGAAAATTGACTAACGTTTTAACGACACGAATTTTAAAATTCTTGAGTGAAAAATCTCGGAAAGACACTGAAAGCTATAATAAATTTTATAAAGATAACAGTATCTTATTAAAAGAGGGTGTCGTGAGCACTGAAAATCAGAAAGAAAAGGTAATATAATAATCTTTTTCTATTATATATTTATATGTATGCATAACTTTTTCCTAAAGGTACTATATTTATCTTTCTGATATCTGTTTAATTATATTTTTCGTTTGTATAGGAAGACATAGCTAAACTTTTGCGTTACGAATCATCTGCAATACAGCCAGGGGAATTAATGGGCCTCGAAGATTACTTCAAACGAATGCCTTCTGATCAAAACAAAATATATTACTTATTAGCACCAAGGTAAAGAATGAATTACTTTTCATTAATATGAACAATCCATACAGTCTTTACATTTATATTATAATTTTAGCCGTGAATTAGCAGAACGATCGCCATATTACGAAACACTAAAGAAACGAAATATCGAAGTACTATTTTGTTATGAATCACACGATGATGTAATTTTCTTGCATTTACGGCAATATAAGTCTTGCGCATTGACTTCCATTGAAGAAGAGTTACGCGAACCAGATTCAAAATCTGACGATAGTCCTCGTAAGTAATTTACCTTAATGGTTTATAACTTTATATGGTCTGTGCTTAATTTCTTGTTATATATGTATATATAGGTATTATTGATCAAGAAGCAATTGACAAACTTATAAGTCACATGAAAACAGTATTAACCGGGAAAGCATACAATATTAAAACAACGACGAAACTTGAGTCGCATCCGTGTGTAGTTACAGTTCGTGAGATGGCAAGTGCAAGACACTTTACCCGCATACAAACTCGTCAATTGAACGAGGAAACGTTATATCCTATACTTCAGCCACATTTTGAAATAAATCCTAATCATTCCATTATTAAGAAGCTTTGTAGTCTAGTAAATACCGATCCGAAATTAGCCGATCTTGTCATAAATCAGGTACTGTGTTATGGAAGTAAAGTGAAGGTTATATATTGGAAGTTTTCACATTCTATGCATTCTAACTTTCTTTTTAATTCGTTTCAGTTATTCATTAACAGCATGGCAGAAGCTGGTTTAATTGAAAATCCACGGACATTACTGGCATCAATGAACGAATTGTTAGCCGTAGCGTTAAAATAAATATTAATTTTCAATTTATAACATTTATAACATTTGCGACAAAACTGTTTAATAAGTTAGAAATACATTGTGTATAAATAAATATTCTGAATAAAATAATTACATGTAAAAATTATTCTCTGTGGTAAAATAAATACAACTCATTATCATATCATATTGACATTTTTATTTATCATTTGCAAAATAAATTATTTCGACATATCTTACCAATTCATACATTTATTATTTCATCAATATTAGATATAGAAGATATAAAATTAATACATGAAAGGAAACATTTAAAATATAGGTAAATGGTTTTAGAATTATCGTAATAACACAGTATGTAGGCAAGATTGTATTCTTTATTACAATATGTTGATCTTGTACAAATTAATTATAGCCTTCTAATTATAACAAGTCAAGTTCCTCATTGTTTGAAGGATTTCATGATATCGATATGTATCCTATTAGCAGGGCTAAGTGTCGCGGTGAATTTGAAAGTTGTACCCACATCTTTTTTGTATTTAATTTCCTACATTCCTCGTCATCGTATAATTATGGCAAGTTATAATAAAATAAGAAATAAGTGGAACTATTCATTAGTTTGTAAGTTATAATCAAGTACAAAAATCAATAGTAAGTAGTTTGAAAAATAAAAAAGTAAACGCACATAAATGAAATATATTTGTTTCGATCAATTCCGATTGCTTGAATTGTTAATTATAGTAAATTATTAAATCCTATTTTATGAAAACATCTCACTGAAAACTTAGTACTACTATTTGATCAGAAGTTTTATAAAATATTACGTGTTTTTCTTTTTTATCTTTACAACCAAATATTTCACAATGTCCACGTGATTACAAACCAATTGGTACAATACTTATAATTGGATGATCGTTACATCCGCATCGCTTTACAGTCTTTAACCAATATGTCTTCATTGTCAATTTGTAAAGTATAAAACTAATCTTAATGGTTATGAGCTCGCTGTGCTTCGACGCAAACTGAAATTTTCATTGCGCATTGATGTTGTTTCTGATACAATTTGTTAAGTTAAAGCTGTACAATAATCTTATTTCATTCTAATATAGAATAAATTGTCTATGTTCAATTGTATCTGTGTAAGTAATTGCATTGAAATTTCAGCAAGGAGAGGCACAGCTACTTCAAACTTACATAAGAAGGAGACAATTTCTTTTCCTCTTGGTTAAACACAAAAGAAGTCACCCTGTTTCTCATTATTATTAACGTGGTTTACTCATTTATTCCACTAAATGTAGAATAACATGGCTAGTATCCTTTACAGAACAGGAACATAAACAGTGAATTTGCCAGTAGAATTCTACATATATATATAAGAAAGAAAAACGTGTACACCTCTCCCAATTAAGCTGCTGCTAAATAATTGACCAACGGAAAATGGTATCTTGCATGGAAGTACACGGTATTTGAAAGATATTAGGCACAGAAATAACAGTTTCTTGACGCTTTGTGTGTCACGATTAGCTACACAAATTAATCAAGGGAAATGCCTTTGTTCGTACGGCAGTATTAAGTTGGCAGTTCAAAAAATGTTTCATTATCGTTACTTGGACAGATTTTCATGATGAAAATAACAGCGTGAGAACTATGAGTAATTCATGATAAGAGCATCGATGATTTGCGTACGATCCACATTGCTGAGCAGTCTTATCGAGTAGATAAAAATGTTAAAGCGCGATGTAAGTAGTAGCACCATATATGCAGTTATGTCTGTTGAACTGATGGTGACTAATGGAAGGAGAGAAGTTTAAAATAAAAAATAAAAAGGGGAGAAAAGAATAGATGAAGTTGAACGAACGGAACGTTGACTTAGCATTACGTACGCGCGGAAATAGAATACTATCTTCCGCGATTTCTTAATTTTTTCATTTAAAAAACATTGGATAATTAATATTACAATCATTATCATACAAGTCATAGTATTTGATCATTGTATAAACATTATTATCATCACAGTAAAAATATTTCATATCTTTTTAACTATTGTGCTTTGCTGCAGTAAACGTCAGCAGACATGCACATATATTCGCCCTAGAAGCAGAGCACTGTTTTTTCACTAGAGTCAATTCATTTACTCACTAGACTATGCTGTACTTATACCTATATTATTAAGTAGTCCTTCTGTTTATTTCGTACGTAACCAAAATAAAGTCGGTTAGCAAATAGTAAAAATACATAAATGTACCTATGTACCTTTTTTGCAGTGGAATTATAGTTGCGGATAACATTTAAGTTTAAACGATAGGTCATTAAATAATAGTCATTGGTCTGACAACGCGGTCGTGATTAAATTTACTTCTCTCGAGTAACAAATTTTATCCTTAATCAAGATAACTCCTTATTGGTAATAGTTGCGTATAGTTGCCATGATATATATGTATACACATATTCTTCATATTGTATACATATACATATATATATATATTTTCTTTCTTTTTTTTACTAAACCTCATCCCCTTTGGTAGAATTGGAAAGATGTTTTCCCGTTACACGAAACGAAACTCTTAATGGTCCACATAGTAGAAAATTGTCAGAATGTAACTCGTCTACCAAATAAATTCGTATTCAACAGAACGTGTAACCTTATAACGTACCAATCGTGAAACGGCTTTGTTTTAATCACCATAAAACATGTAACGGAAGTCGTATGAAAACAATAATTGCTCCCAGTGTACGTGTACGTTCATTTTCATATTTACGGTTCAATAGAATTGTTTCGAGGATCGCGGAATTAAGTACATCGAAGTACCTAAGCTCTACCTATATAGGAGATTTGAGGTACGATGCGCGAACGACGCGCACCGTTGGCTCAGTATGCGAATTCCCATACCGTTCTTTTAATTAGCTCGTGTTCATCAGTTTCTTATATTCATAGCTGCCTCTGTACACACTTACCTTTTCTTCTACCTCTGATTCGATAATACGTATGTACAATATTTTTCTCGTATATTCACATAACATTCGCACTGTTTTTATTCAAGAAGCACAGAAAAACACGATCACGTTCAGTCTGTTCTCAAGTCGTGGCACCATTGTTCGTCACACCGAGGTTTGCGTGATACCGTTCCCCGACAACCACAAGCGGCCATTGCTCTTCTGATCGGCGATCTCGTATTCGGAATCGTCAATTTCGCATAGATTGGTAGATAAGTCGCTGTTGCTAGTTGCACCACCCAACAATGAATTTCGTTCTTCGAGAGTGGTGATTACCGACCCGATCTCGTCGACTTCGTCACCCTTGTGGCATCGGTTGCGTCGGGTGCTTGGGAAACCATAAGGCACTACGTCATCTTCCTCTTCGTCGGATTCTAAAGTACTAAGACGACCGTTCAAGGGGTTCGTTTCGTTCTCCGTGTCCGTGTGGATGTTGTAATGCGGCAGATAGGAGTTCGGATGCCGGAGATAACTTTCGGAACCTTTATACTTGTACTCTCCCTCACCACCGCTGTCCAGGGGATTCAAACGCTGTGTTTCCGTGCACTGATACTGCTCAGAAAATTCAGTCCCGCATTCCGAGTCCCCGACGTACTCTGACTCTTGGTCTTCGTTCAACGTCTCGATGTCTCTCGCTGGATCTACAGAGCTGTGCACTGCAACGAATACGTCTGGTTATTTTACACGATATATCAAGTAGACGGTTAATATACTTCGATTCTCAACTGGTAGTCAAATTAAACATCTAGCAGCTCTCCCGATATACAGTTTAGCACGTGTAAGAGAAGTTGGAATATTGACATGGGTATGATAGTGATTCGAACGTTACACCCTACCAATCGAGGGTTAAAAAGAGTGGGCCAAATGAAACGTAGGCAAAAGACAGTCTACCTTAGTACTATTACATGCATCCCTTATTGTTGCTATCTATATGAGATAACGAATTATGTGAAAGAGAAAAACAATTTGACAGTTTCCTCTAATATTATCTTACACAAAGGTGTCTACAGTCGTAATGAGCTAAGATTGCTCCAACTAACTGCGAATGGAAGCAACGTACTGCGAGCATGCAGTCGCTACTTACCTGACGGTAACTGATGAGTGTTTGATTCGTTACTCTCATTGCTGTGGAAGCTGGACGAGTCTGGTACTTCGCTTCCAGGCACCTCCGTGATATTAGGCAAGGGGTTTTGGCTTGGCCTGACCCAGTCTGAACAATCCCAGTGATACCCTAAAAGCATTGCAGACAACAACTGTACTCCGACACGCTACATGCGACGACATCTGGCGCCGCGATACGGAGTTGAAAGAGAAAAAGAGGAAGAAAAAAAGAGAGATAAGCGAAGTGTGTGTCTGGTAATTAAAGGATAAAAAAAGAGTCTGGCCGATAGAGAGGGATAGCGACAAGCAAAGCGACCCAAATATCATATATATCCTTAGGTATTCGTTGCGTTTTTCAGGCATTACTCTATCTCGACTTACCACCGACTATACGAGGATCATCCTCGATGGACGTCATGGAGGCAACGGAGGTCCCACCTCCATGAGGCACACGTCGAGAAGAATTTAGTAGAAGTCCTCCAGTGGTCAGCTCTGGTACCACTGGGCTCGCTCGTTTCAGGTCTGTTAGCGCACACAATACGATACACCAATGTTAATTTGATTCGCTACAGGCCCAGGTCAGCATACGCTTTCGATCATTCGTATTAAGATCGGGGAAAGGAACAGGAATAGAAAGAGTGATAAGTAGTAAAATGGGACAGGTAATAGTCTGACGAGACGATTAAATGAGAAGAACAAGGAAGAACAGAAGAGATAGAAGGATCAGAAAGAGAGACATAAAGAGAGAAGAGAGAGAGAGAGAGAGAGAGAATGAGAGAGAGATCAAATAAAGGATCAAGCTATAAATTCCACCCACGATGCATGCCGCAAGCGAAAACAAAAGTAAGAAGCTACGATGAATCGGGGAAATCAGCGGCGCATACTACTCACCATTCTTTATCTTTGTCGTGTCCGTGATGAAGGAAGCTAGTTGCATCTGCTCTTGCCACGTTGGCTTATGAAGGCTATCCGTGTCGCTGCCTGTAGCGTTTCCGCCGACTGGGTTAGCGAGGGTTAAGGACGGAGGGGGTACGGGTGTGCTGCGATTTAGGTTTCTCAAATAATCTGGAGGGAAATTCTCCAGCTCATCGCCGGCGCTGCCATAGCTGCGCAACGTATCCAGATTATTTAGAGCCACCGCTGCCGAGTTGCCGTATGTGGCTGGCTCGTTGTTCGAGCTAGGAGTGTAGGAAGCGGGTCTAGGAGGGCATTGGGGAGGTTCTCTCTGCAAAAAAAGAATCACACGAAAAACCTTAAACTCAATGCACACGTCACTCACAGGATAGGGATTACTGGCTGATGATTGCAAATCAAGAAAAAAAACGGCATCAGAACAAGAGAGAAAAAAAATAGAAAGAAAGACCGGTGTACTAGTCGTCTATCATTGGCGTACGATCAAAGTATTATTAAAAGCATGCGATTTTCTCTCTTAGGTGCTGGAAAATGGAGAAGTATGTTCATCGAATGTGCACATACCTGTATCACTTCCAAGTTGCTCAGCTTTGAATTACGTTTGAACTCGTGTTCATGGGGTCGCGCGGAATTTAACACGATTTGTTTCCTGGTCTCGTTGTTGATGTTGTTCGCTCGTGCTCTTGTGCGTTTCATTCTGATACGTCGGAAAGCGAAGAATATGATGATCAGGAATACGTTCAGTACAACCGCAATGCCAATCCACATCAGTTGCTCCCATGTTATATTGAAATGGCTTGATATAATTGGCGTGGAATATGCCGGGTTTCCACAATTTAGTCCGGTCATGTTGGGAGGACAGATACACCTGTAGGTGCCTATCTCGTTCACACAGGTACCTCCGTTCGTGCACGGATTGGCATCGCACTCATTTATGTCCGTTTCACAACGGTCACCCACGAATCCTTGGCATTTGCATATCGGGCCATTGTTGCCTTCCTCGCACACTCCACCATGGATACAGGGATTTGGACTACAATATCTTCCGAATTCGCAACGTTTTCCAGTCAGACTTGGTCTAACACATTCGCAGACGTAATCGCCACCTTCTGGCACAACTTTGCAACGACCGCCGTAAAGACAGGGCGACGAGGCACAGGGATCAGTATTGACTTCACACGTAAGGCCTGAGAATCTCGTGTGACACTGGCACTCGTAATTATCATCACCAGCATCCTTACACGTGCCGCCATTTTGACAAGGCTGCGAACCACAGACTCCCAGAGGCACAAGAACACTAGCGGCATCACAGCTGAATTTGACATTCACGAAGCGTTTTAAAACTGCAACGCTACTAGCGCCACTCATGTGCAGTGGTACTGACACTCTAGCGATTCGAACGTCGTCCATGCATCCTATGAAGCCACGTTGAACATCTTCGAAGCCCAAAATCGACGGATGTTGCTTGACTTCGGCACCCAGGTACAAGTCGTCAGTTTGAAGATTCAGAATGTCATTTATGCCAGGTGCTGATCCATGAGCCTCGTATTTTCCATCTACGATCAATTTGGCGCTGTTACTTTCCCGTTCCAGCTGAATTTCGTGCCACTGTCCGTCACTCGCGTACACGCTGGTTACGTGAACCAAACCTTCCCCACTGCCCAGGTTAAACCTGTACTGGACGACTCCGTTCACAATTTCTAGGATATTGTAATCGACCTTGCCAGCTGCGTACATCAAGTTCCCAGTTAATTGCACCGTTCGAATTCTCAAAGATAAACTCAGGCGATTCTCGATGGTCTGCCTGATGAGGGCTTTGTTAATCTTGTAACAAGCATAGCTTTTACCGCTAAATGATATCGGATTCCTTGGAATGTAACAGGACTCATCGTGGCATTTGGAAATGTCGATATCGCAGGTTTGTCCAGCGAAGCCTACAGGGCACTGACAAGAGTATCCTCGGACCGAAGAATCAGATACGCAGATTTGGAATAGTGGGCAAGGATCTCGCGCGCACTCGTTAACGACTACCTCGCAATAATCTCCGGCGTAACCTTCTTTACAGCTGCACTCCATCTTGTGCCTATGCCGTGGAGAAACGAAGCTCATGACATCGGTAGCCACAGTTGTCACTTGTGTAATGTCAAGAGCAATTTTGTCCTGGCAGACCCCATACACGCAGTATTCCTTGTTGCATTTGAATCTGACTATTTCTTCCACTACCAATTTTGTCGACTTTTCGAGTTCTTCGATATGCTCATTCAACGCCTCTCGTATGTTTTCAGATGTATAATACGTAACATTATTAAAACTCGATGATCCCAACGGAATAGAACTTCTCTTCACTGTGAATAAAAGGTCCAGGTCGTTGTGCACGATTTGGCGAATGGTGCGAGATTTAATTAGATTTATTTTGTTGTCGGTAGAAGGTTGAACGCTGATGATGATGATATCCTTTATCCTACAGTTCATTGCGTTGCGAACAGTTTTAATAAATCCCTTACGGTGACTTAGTATGAAGTCTTCAGGACTGACCTCCCTGAATCTCACAATCACAGAATTATCTAGCATTTCTTCGGTTATTAAATCAACGTTTACTTTCACTACGGAATGCAAATGATATTTCCCATCTGTCACGCTAACGTTTATCTTATATTCACCAACGTCGAGCCGAGGTAGGGCAACTAAGGTACCGTCGATTTTGTCAACTTGGAAGAGATCGTTTGGAATTGGGGACGATGGAATCAAACTGTACGAAAGAGTATCATATTGATCCTGATCTGTTGCGTGAACCTTTCCGATAATACCGCCAGGATATTCGTCCTTGTAGGAATTAACGACCACTTCCAAAGGTGTAATTACCGGTGGATACTGGGACTCCTCAATCACCTTGATTACTACCCATGCGTCAGAATAGAGAGGTGGGCTTCCGTTATCGAAGACGCGTATGTGCAGTACGTATTTGTCTTTCACCCTGTTGTTGAACTTGGTCGCGGTTCGCAATGTGCCGTCCTGTTCCAATCTGAATGCGTCACCCTCGTTTCCAGATCGGAAGTCAAAGGTGTACGGTGCAGCGTTCGGCTCGATATCTGCATCTGTGACCACAAATTGTAATACGGTGTGGCCCAGGGGCTTGTCTTCTTGTACTACTGCCGTATAATTTGAGAGAGAGAATAGCGGCGGGTTGTCATTTGCATCTAGAACCTTGATGTTTACCATCACGAAGCTGGACAGCATGGGTGTGCCACTGTCACGGGCGTGAACCTCCAGCACGTAATTGCCGATCTGGAACATGAAATATCTTGTTGTAGATTGCATTGCAAATGTTACAAGGCCATTAAGACGTATAATGAACGGAACATGTGATTTATACTGACTTCTTCGCGATCCAACGGCGTGGCAATGGTAATTTGCCCCGTTTTCTGATCGATCAAAAATTGCTTCTGCCTATCACCTCGTTCGATATAATAAGACACATTTCCGTTCTCTTCGCTATCCAAGTCATTTGCAGATACCTGAAACATTAGTTATAATACGGAATTAGAATGGCGTGTAGATGAAACGAGATTTAGAAACTATTCAAGATTTCCGTTACTAATTTTATCACTTCAAAATATACTTCCAGTATAATACATGTAAGATTTATAAAAATACAATTAGTTATGAACTATAATAATTTAATATCAATACCTTACAAAGAAAACAAATTTATTCGTACAGCTCGCGCTCAAAATAACTCATTAACTTGTTTAACGAGATCAGTTACTTAGGTATTATTTCTCAACTATGTCACATATAAGGCTTACTAACCTGTATAACTTTGTCTCCAATCTTTGCGTCTTCTCTTATAGAAGCCCTGTACGAAACTTCATTGAATATCGGTGTATTGTCGTTACTATCGATCACGGTGATGTTCACTGTGGCATGATTACTTAGAGATGGAATGCCTCCATCTTTAGCCTGAATGGTCAATAAATAATCTCTTGCACGTTCGAAATCCAGTTGCTCTGCGATCGTAATGACGCCTGTAGTCGTGTCTATCTGGAACTTCTTATGCTCATTTCCGCCCACGATCGAGTAGTACACATCAGCATTGACTCCAGTATCCTTGGATGTCGCGAGAACCCTAGCTACTTCTGTTCCAACCGCATAGATTTCGGGAACCTTACGGAAATAGACCTTTGACGTAAATTCCGGTGGATTGTCGTTGATATCCTGTACATTGACTATTAACGAAGTCACATTCATCAACTGAGGAGTCCCCTGATCCACTGCTTGGATGGATACGTTGTACATCGCCTTCGTTTCCCTATCCAATGGTTTGGCGAGTGTAACGATGCCGCTGTCCGCGGCAATAAGGAAATGGCCATCAGCAGAATCGATGAACTCATATCTGATCTTGCGATTAATGCCGATGTCATCGTCCGTGGCGTGCACCTTGGTCACTAAGGTACCAACCTCTTCGTCTTCCGGCAGCGTGGCGCTGTATGTCTGCATGGTGAATTTCGGTGCGTTATCGTTCAAATCTGAGACTATGATTTCTAGCTGGGAAGAACATTCCCAAGATGGCTTGTCTTTATCCTGTACATGTGCCGTAAGCGAGTATTTCGCTTGGATTTCCCGATCCAGCTGGCCAATCGTCTTCAGTACACCTGTCTCCTTGTCCAGCGAGAATTTGTCGTTATTATCACCAGTTAGGTAGAAACGCAACTTGGCGTTCGGTTCGTCATCGTAATCAGTGGCGAGGACAGTGAGTACGTAAGTCCCAGGATGTGATCCTTCAGACAGGATCTCTCGGTAACGATATCTCAGGCAATATGGCGGATTGTCGTTCACGTCGAGCACCTGTACCGTTACTCTCGTCTTGAAGACGTATTTGCCGTCGGTGCCGACTATTTCAAGTTCGTAACGATCAGTTGTTTCGCGGTCGAGTGCCTTCGCCACGTACACTTCGCCGGTGGATCTAATCTGGAACTGGGATCTCGGATCACCAGATGTTATGTAAAATTCTATCGGCGTATTTACATCCGAATCCTTGTCAACGGTGACCAACTTGACTACGACTGTTCCTGGCAAAGCGTCCTCGTTTACAGCTGCTTCGTAACGATCGTCCACGAATGCGGGTGGGTTGTCATTGTAATCCTTTAGCTTCACGTGTACAGAGGTTCTTGCGAAGTGCTTTGGATTCCCGTTGTCAGTAGCGACCACCTAGATATGGCGAAGATTTATATTAGACGTTCAACTCGTTACACCTTCAAATATATCTTTCGAATTAATACTTTATTACCGACCAAATTTTCGTTTATAAATTTTAGCGCAATTTGAAGCAGCAACGTAATAGAACGAATATTACAGAAAGAAAAGAAGTTAGATTAGAGAAGTAGGAAACTGTAGGTAGTTAAATTTTAAATAGACGAACTTGGAACTTATATTCCGGTTGTTTCTCCTTATCAAGCTGAACTAGTGTTGATATCCAACCGGTGTATGCATCCACTGTGAAAACATTCGCCAACTCGCCTATATCCGAGCCAAATGAATATCGAACCTCCCCGTTGCTTCCTAGATCACCGTCGTGCGCGATGATTTTCAAAATGGGCGTTCCCTCTTCTATATTTTCCGCTAGACTGATACCGTAAGGATTACTCTCAAATTCAGGAGCATGATCATTTTCATCCAACACTTGAAGCGATATTTCAGCTAGAGCTGTCAGAGGAGGACTCGAATCCGTTTCAGCGAGAACTGCGATCAAATGGTTATCCTTGAGCTCTCGATCTAAAGGTCTAACTAATGTGATCTGTCCATGAGCGTCAACCATGAAAAGTGGAGAATCCTCGTCCCCAGAAACTATTCTGTAAGTAACCGTGGTGTTGGTCACGGTTTTCAGCCTGGTTATCGGTGTACCGATAGGAGACGCTTCGGATATGAAGAATTTATCTTCTTTCCGCTCGAACAGAGGTGGAATATCTTGCGGACCCATTATGTAGATGCTGAGAGGGACATCGGCGTGATGAATGGTAGCTCCACCCTTGTCTTCCGCGCGAATGAACAACTCAAATAATTCATTTTCTAAAATTAAACAGATGATGGTAATCGCAGAGTCGTTACTAGAGAGGTAATTTGGGATATTTATTACAGAAAAGAATAAAAGGAATGTTAGCCACTGACAAGGAACAAGTGGTTGACGAGTGACTAATTTCAGATAGGGACTTATTGACAGTTTAAATTCTTACCCCATGGAATCGCACTCTTCTGCAGGAACAACGCTCCAGTATCAGGATTTATTCCAAATAACGCTTTTGCTTCCGAAGTCTGTAGTTCGTATATCGAATAAATGATCCTCGCAGCGTCATCCTCGTCAGCATCTTGAGCTTTTACTTTCAAGAACGGCGTGTTCACAGTCAGATTCCCGTGTATACTAGCTTTATATTCTCTCAGAAGGAACACAGGCGAATTGTCATTCTTGTCCCCAACTTTGACCCTGACCATCACGAAACCTGACCTGCCACCCCCATCTGTAGCCATCACAGGTATCTCGTACAGTTTCTGCTCTTCTCGATTTAATTCCTTTTTGGTCACGATCTCACCGGTCAGTCTATTTATGTCAAAGATCTCTTTCATCAGATCCGAAGCTATCGAATATATCACAGTTCCATAGTCACCGAAATCCTCGTCAGTGGCTATCACGCTGGTGACCAATCTACCAGGCAACTGGTTCTCGAAGACTGTTATTTCCACTACAGGATTCGGGAACTTAGGGTTGTGCCTATTAGCAGGCAATATCTCGATCTTCACACGTGCAAAGCTGGTGTACACGTTGTCAGTGACAGAAACGTTCAGCAAGGTGAGCTTCTTCTCGCCAAAGTTCTGCATGTTGATCAATGAAATGATGCCAGTGGATTGGTCAATGTTGTACGTTTGTTGCTCGTTGCCACCGACTATCGTATACGTGAGTTTCTCATCCACGTAGTCAGGATCGCTTGCGGATACCACCGTCACGAATTGACCTCGTTCTGCGTGTTCGGATAACGAGCAGGTGTACGAGGGCTGCTCGAACTTGGGCGGGTTGTCGTTCATGTCGATCACCGTCACCCAGACGTGGGCTGTGCTCGCGAGACTTGGCACGCCACGATCACTGGCGATCACGGTGAAGTGGTGCGATTCGTGGGTCTCGTGATCCAAAGATCTCTTCAGGAAGATTACACCCTCTTCTGGGTCGATGTGAAACAGATCTGTGCTGTTTTCCGTGTCGTTTTGAATCGCATAGCGAACCTGCTGGTTTATATCTGAAATAAAGGTAAGAAGATTTATAGTATTGGAACATAGTTATTTATGCAAGCATGTGCAGTGTAAGTGTGGAAAAAGATACGCGTTTTAACGGTGTGTCGAGTTGAATATTCTTCTGAAAAGTAGCAGTGGTAGATGCATGCAATTAGAGATACTTGCAGCCGTTAGACCTTGTAGTAGCGCAAGCGGTCGCTAGATGGCGCGACAGTCACGTTTATACATTCTACAGCCATACTATTATATAGTGTGACTAGTATAATGTAGTGTGGTATCGAAAGTTTCTTATCAATAACTCAACAATTCATAAGTAGCAGAGGTTAAAATTTTATATCGTGCATTAGGCCATGAGTGGTCTTCAAAAGGACAGCCAACGACTTGCCAAGTTTATCACCATAACTAATACAATTGGAGCTTTAATTTTTCTAATGTGAACTTTGTGTTTCTTGTAGTCTAGAATTTTTCAGTGACTTCTTTCTGTTTATTTATTGCTATACGTGATGGGTGAAAAGTGAATTAGTAAAGATTTAGTATAACGAATATTAAGTTCACATAATTATTAAATATTAAGTTTTTCTAAACGATGAATAGCACAACTGGAGTTAAAATAACTTCTTTTATCGATATCATAAAAATAATGCAATCATTTTTCTGTAAAAAAAAAATACTAAAAGAATTCTACCTCAAATATACATCAAGGAATAAAATTGGTCAAACCTACAGTCACCGAGATAGTTAAATAGATTGGAATTACAAATTACAAAAGTGAAATCATCTTATTATTCTTTTCTATGCCGGTTTAACGACCTGATGCTTTATTTCAACTTCGATTATGGTTCTTAGTCATCAGGAAGTTTCCAAATAAACCCCTGGACAGAATCTCTTGACGCGAAACATCAGCTTCTATTTATCCGGTTCTCGTCTTTTTCTCGACCCATTCTCGTACAATCATGCAACATCTCGAGGTATATTTCATCGCGATAATCCAACCTCGGAACCCGCTAAGAGCATCCTTCACAATAATTACAATAACATTAATCTTGCTCCAACAGGATTGCATCGCGTTATTTATGAGACATATACAGTCAGAGAGGGAGAGTCTCCACTCTCACCGACATTAATTGCAAATTTAAGCAGGCCTTCGAGCTTCGGGAGGCCAATCCGATCTCTCAATGCGTATCCAGCGGGATGCACTGTCGTCCATAAGTCTAATTGCGCTTGCAGGAATTGTGAACACCGTCACGAAAGTTTGATAGAAGTTAAACGCTCGAGTAAGTATTATTGCTAACATATATCAAGATTTAAGAAGATTTAATATTTCATATACGAACAAGGATTTTATAAATTTTTTAAATATCAGAATATATATTGCACTACCTGAACTAAGAAATTATTTAAAAGATAATAATTAACGTGATATCATAATTAATTTTCAATAAATTTATATTATGTTCGTAGAGCAATGGAGAAACGTCCTTTAACATTTAAAGGCCGAAGCAAATGCACTTGATTATATTCGATAGCAATCGAGGCTAAAGAAGGACGCTTTGATGAAATAATAATTCAACCCTTTGTCCTGTAGTTCGTTTGTAACATTACAACTAGAATTAAATCATTCAATTCTGCGATATCGTAACTGATGAGAACCGTTGTGAAATTTGTTTTAATTTTCACAATGAAATTTAATGTGGAAATCGTAAATTTTCTAATTTTAATATTCTATGTATTAGATCCATATATCACATAGCAATTCACATACTATATATTGAATATATTGAAATTTATATGGTACAATTTATTTAATCCATACTTGAATTTATATACTACATACCTATCTATAGAAATTCGCATATAATATAGCATGTATCAAAATTTATAGACAATACGCTACAAATACAATTGCACATTGTACAGTGACTCAACAACAGTTAAAATCTATATACCGTGATATTTAATTATAAAAACGACAAATAAATTTCCAGCAAGAGCAAAAGCAGGAATTGTCAAGTATTTTAATCTCGATTGTACAAGATTCGAAATCAAATATAATGTACAAAACAATATACTCAACAAACATTTCATAATATGCATCGTAATATTCATTAAGTACAAGTGCTTTGGATGCTTTCATAGCCAACATCATCCTTTCGTAACTCCAGGCTGCGACTAAACTTATGGATGGCTGTTTTGCCTGAATTTAATAACCGCTTACCCGTGTCATTATCCCTGGAGCTGACTTTCAACACGGAGGTGCCGAACGACGCAGCCTCGGAGACCGAGATGTTGTATGAGTCTTGAGTGAATTCTGGCGGGCAGTCGTTCACGTCCAGCACTAGGATGCTAACGAGCACCTCCGCGTAGACGCCCGATACGCTGTCCGTCGCACGGACGGTCAGCTCGTACTGCTTCTTCTGCTCGTAATCCAACTCGTCCACGACGTAGATTGCACCTGATTTATCGAAGAGAAGATTGTAGACCCAAAAGCAGTCTATGCAGCGTAGCGTCCACAAAGCCGAGAAACTTTTCCTTCATATACGCGATGCTGAGTAATAGCGTAGGATTCGTGTGCGTGTGCATGTATATATACAATCATATATGAAAGTATTCGAACATTTACATCTGCTTTTTTCAACAGGTGAGATATGCACGTTAAACTGAAATGTTCGAAATAATGTGGCGTGTATAGAAAAAGGAAAGTCTGAAGATCATATGTGCAGGATTGGGAAAGAATTGAATGATATATACAATATTTACAGTATATTTCTTGTAACGACTCAATGGATAATCACGAATTGCAGAAGTATTTAAATGTAGTTGAAAGGAATATTAATTGAAAATTTAAAAAATTTCGATGTCACGCGATAGCCTTAGAACGAGTTTCCACTTAACACACTAGCGCCACCACAGTTCATATTTAGGGTAAAAGTACCGTAGGTATCGTAAACGTTGTGGGATTATTTTATAACTTTACTACCACAAAGATGTAACTTTTTCCTTGTTATATGTACAATATATATGCATCGTTGCATATGTATATGTGCCAAATATTTTGGTTTAACGTAAATATTATACTTGTTAAATATAGTAGGTGTAAGCATCCGAATACTTTCGTGTATGAGTATATGTGTGTTTTTTTTTTACTTTTTGACATTTCCCTTGGCATTTTCTGACGAGTAGCTTAGGGTGTAGCCTAGCTTGTCGATGCAAGAACTCGATGCAGATCTAATGCAAATTTGATGTAAAGGTGTGAACGTGACACCATTGTCTTGTCAATGATGATGACTGGGTAATTCAAGGAGTTGCTCGGTTTCGCGGACACTAAGAAGAGACACTGGTGAATGCAAGTCACGTGGTAAACACGCTTGTATAAGACGCTCGAATATCGCGAATGAATTTGCGGATGCTATCTAAATGTCTGCACCTTTCGACATGACAAGTTACTCGGCTTAACAGGTTGACTCCATTCGATGCTTTGGCTACTTCCTACGAATAATCCAAATTTGTTGTTCTGAATGTTAAGAAGTGAAAAAGCATTACGAGGCTACTTCTTGAGACCTATAATTTTTTTTCCTTTTGACAAAATTCAAACCTTTTACAATTTACTATTAGCTACAAAATTTTTACTATACTACACAATACTACGTAAACTTACGTCTACTTTCGTGAAAGATACTTTTTCAGTTCGACTGGAACACTAAACAAATATTTCATGATTTCCTAGAAAATTTCGTTAAGTTACTGTTCTTGAATCAATTTTCTAATTACAGAAAGTGCTATCTTCAATTTCAATCGAATCGCTTTCACTCGATTTAAATTCACAAGACTTGCCTTGCAGTCGATTATAGAAATCGAAGGAAGATCGCGATACAAGGAAATGCAATTTTGCCGCAACCTCATCGTTCACGGATCGATCTCAAGAAGCGAACAAGCGAACGCTGTCACGTATCGTAGTCAACCTGTTACAAACGAGCTGCCTGTTTCCCTTTCTCGCCATTTCCACACGCATCGTGACCCGTTTAATGGTACAAGCACGGTATCCTTTCCAGTATTCGCACGCGACGTAAGGTGCAGGCACGCCATGCGAGAAGAACAGAATGAAAGCCGTAAGAATCGCGGCAGGTGAGAATAAAATGGGTAGAATGGAAGGAAAAAACCGCAGAAAGAAGGAAATGGCGTACAGACGATAAGCCTGCGTTCAGATCGCGTCCCGAGATACAGTTGATCACAAAAATATCCGGCTAGATCAGATATGTCACGCGATATCCATAAATCGTACATCAATGAGGTAGAAATTAGCAGGAAACTTAATCTTGACAAATATTTATCGCCGTACGATAATAATTTCATGGTTTGAAAATAAACATGATCGAACAGTGACAATTTATAGCCTAGGACCTAAGTACGAGGCGCACCGCCAGGTGGCCACCTACTTTTGTGACTAAGTGTATACGATGTCCGATCTCTATATAATCACGTATCGCCGTTCAAGTGCAACACAGTGCTCCAAGCCTGGTTCTTCGCGCAGCTTTTTCGCGTTGCTCCTATGCGAAATAATGGGGTCGGTTGGGTTGGGACACGATGAGTAAAAGTGAGAGTAAAATTACGCGACTCAAAGCGGTTTCTACTCAGGGAGGAGGTAATTAACATGCTGTTAAATGTTGCATCGTTGCTAAGTCTTGCTGTACCCTTTTCTTTTCCCTTTTTGCTTTTACAAAATCGTGCATCGTTACGATCGCCGGCAAGCGGTTAGAAGTTGCGAAGAACGCCGGATATCGTGCGCCAGGCGTGCAATCACGGAAGCTGTGTGTGGCAAGCAGAAATCTCGACCGGCCGATGATACGGGTTCCGTCGTGTTTGACTTGGGGTTCGTAGTTCCGGCATTTCCAGTTCTCGACACTTAACCGCCCCTCGTGTATTCATGCGTAACCGTTTCCTCCAAGTTCAGCGCGTTTTCCAATTTTTATCCGACCGCTTTGAATTGCACCAGGCCTCACACAAACGACAGGCAACGAAAATAAATATAAAAAAAAATTGTAAAAAATTGGAAATTCAAATGGGAAAGTAATATTTGCACCGAGGGATCATTGCAATTTTATGGAAAATAATAAATCGCTTAAAATATTTGGAGACCTGAAGTGTGTATTAGAGGGTTGTTGTTACTTATGGTCCGGTCAATCGTTTCGCTGTAAAGTACAGGCACAGGTGCGACTATTATTTACAATTAAATTTCTATGCCGGCGATTTTGCCATTGTGGCATCCGCTTGAATTACGATTGATATTCCACGTGAAATCCCGATTGCTGTTCGCCGTTATTCTAACTTACTCCGTGATGTCGTGTAACGGGCAAAGGGGTTGGTATTAATTCAGGGGATAGCGTCACAGTTGAGAATTATCGCGTGAAGATCGACAGAGAAAAAATGGCGGCCGAGGGAAATTCATTGTTACTGTTCCAATCGTGCATGAAATTTACTTAGAAAGAAAAGAGATAGAGAGCAGTGCAGTAGCATGGTACAAGTGCAACACAGCAGACCGATAGAACTAGTATTTTTTATACTCACAAGGACCATTGTTACTGTCGGGGGCTGCGAAACAGGGAGATACAACAACACTTTAATTTCTAGTTTAATCAGATAAGCATTCGTAAAGAATAAATTACGAGATGGGTAAGGAGAGATGGGTAAAGAAGGGAGAATTAATTAACAAAAAAAAGAGACTACCATAAATAGTAACGCAGTGAACGTACGTATGTAAGAAATATTTTGACTTCGAGTAAAATTAATTCCAAGATCGGGTTTATGATTAATTATATACGAACAAATTAACCGTATAATTATAACTGCAGCTTGTGTTACGTGCGATACATTCCAACATCCCCAATTTGCTACTGTCTCACCACTACACCGTGACTTGATTAGAATTTAGTTACCGAATACCATATACAGCGAAACCAACACGTCATTCGTTAAAGTAGAAAGCGCGATTGTTTGTGTACGGAATTATTTTGACAACCATTCGTATTTAACCATTTCATTACTGCAGAAACATACATGAACTTTTTACCTATACATCATTTAAATTAGATTGTATCGTTAACAATCGGGACAGAATAAAAGTAACAATAAAACGTTTTTATTTACAGCCATAAGCGACAAAACGCGAGAATCTGTTATTTTATCAGAAAAGTCACTTCGTTTATCGATTATCGCTGTACATATAACATCGGGGGGACGAAGCTCGTTTCATCAAACACGGATATGAACATTTGTCAGTAATGAAAAGGTCAAAAGTTATTATGAGTCCCACAGCCGAGTTGGGATGAGAATCCTCAGGAGACGTTTCATTCGGGACTGGATTTAGGACACAATGTTCTCTGATCGCGCGTTTACAATTTCGAATGTAACACACGTTCGCCGCTGTCGTGATGCTATAGGAAAAACTTTCATCATAAGGAAAAAAAAAAGGAAAACGAGAAAAATACGGAATGAAAGAAAAACTTCATTCGCAATTTTATATATATATATACACTACCATTTGACCTTATCGTGTCTTGTATGGAACGATGAAGGCAAAGGAAAGCAAAAGAGAAAATCGACGAAACTGCAAATCCGGCAGTTTTATAAAATCTTATCGTATTGCATGTTGAAAGGTACATTGTTCCGGTTGCAACTTCATCGTTCCGTGCCTGGGCGCTGCGGGTTTAATTCAATCTTCGCTTCATCGTTCACCCACAGTTTTGAAAAACTGTTTCGCCGTGCGATCAACGAACGCTTGCTCACCTGTGTTGAAATCCAGAGCGAATTCCTCGAAATCGTTCCCTTTCGTTATACTGTATATGAGCTTGCGGTTCAACGGTGACTCAGCCTGTATGGACAAAGTTAGGGGCGAATGTATCTCGATACTTTCCAGAACGCTGTCCGTGTAAAATTGCTTGTCAAACACTGGCATCGACCGATCTATCACTTTTACGTTCACTGGCACTTCGATGGAGCATGGTGTAATGCCTGGAATAATGTTCGAATCTTGTCGAATATTGCTCAAGCGATAATTGCAACGGGAGATTCTGTGAACGGTACTTTACCTCCGTCATATGCGGCAATAGTAAGCTGGTATTCGCGATTGTGACCCTCCAGATTTTGCTTCAGTGATATTTCACCTGTTTTTCGGCATACCTTGAACAATTCTCCATGACCTTTCTTTAGTTCGTATCTAACCTCTCCATTGTCCCCGCTGTCCATGTCAACTGCATGTACCTGTAAGCAAATCGGAAAGCCCTGTGTGTAATTCTGCGTGAGAGGGGACACGATGTCTGGGAGTGAAAGATGCAGGAATTCATAGAATAAATCTCGAAATAATTCCCTTGCGTTATATCCTACGAAATTCGATATTTGAACAGATCAAATTTAAGATATCGATAGATCAAGAGACTTAATAATAATAATATCTACTCCCATAATAGGGTTAGCCATTTCGTCTGCTGCACATGCCTAACATTCTAGCGATGCTAGATTTTAAAGGACAGGATAATCGAGTAATTTACTTGCCTTCGTGATAACGTCACCCTTTTGTGCATCTACAGACACAACAGCATAATAGGGCAAGTTGACAAACATTGGACAGTTATCATTGATGTCCATTATGGTGACGTTCACGATCACGTGTGCTACCCTGGGCTTCTCCCTGTCTGGCATCTGACTTTTCGCTTCTACTATCAGTTCATAATGGTCGCAAACCTCCCGGTCGAATCTAATCCCAGTTGTCCGGATCGCGCCGGACGTGGATCCAATTACAAACATATCGGTTGGGTTCAGGATGCTGAAGACGATGTGCTCGTTCAACGCGCTGCCTAAAACGTTCACGACCACGACGGTCGTGATCCTTGTCGAGTTCTCGGAAATCGTTCCCTCGTACACATCTTTCTGGAACATCAGCCCCGAATTCTCCGACTTCTCCACCATCACGTTCACCTGGCAGACGCTTGAGTACTTTCCATCGGAGACCCGGATCCGTAGCAGATAGCTTTTCTTCATACGTTCAGGATTATACACCGTGATCACACCGGTCTGCGAGTCTATCTCGAATGTGTGCGCTTTGTTCCCATCGATGATGTCGTACCTGAATGATAACGAGACGAACAGATCAGTATTAATACCAGAAGTCGTGATCTTATGCTTTAAAGAAAGAAGAGGCGCAAAGGATGGCGTTGTTACACCGGCCTAAAAACAGCGGCGCGAGTACCTATGTAAATTCGAAGGTGGTTTTTTCGCCACCGGTATAAGTAGGCACGGAAATTTCCTTCTGGGCGTGGGAAAGACAACCGCGCATCAGACGGCGATCATACAAATTTCATGCAACAATTATAATAGTAAATGAATGCTAACGAAGCCGCGGCGGAGTCCGCATAAATATGAATCAGCCTTTTAAAATGGCCGTGAATACAAAGGCGAGTTTTGATAGCTTTACACGTACCTGAGTGGCACCTCTTCGGAACTGTCTGGGTCCACGGCGCTCACTTGGATCACGGCGACGTTTTTGTACGTGGGCAATAGTACGGTGGTATTATAGTCGTTTTCGAGGAATTTCGGTGGACAGTCATTTACATCCGTTACCGCGATCATCACCTTAGCGATGCGATCGGAAGACAGTTTTGGTTTCCCCAGATCGGAGACCTTTACGTGGAAGGTGAACTTCGGAATACTTTCGTGATCCAAAATCATTACTGTTCTAATGGCGCCAGTGCTCGAGTCTATATGGAAGTATTTTCGTGGCAAATCCTCAACTATGTCGTAATTTAAAAGTGCGTTTAATTCGGAGTCAGCATCCTCTGCCTTTATTACCAATGGGGTGCTGGTATTGGTGAGTACCAAGGAACCTATACTAGCGCCCTCGCTTATTTCTCCACTATACGTAGCTTGCAGGAACCTTGGCGCGTTGTCGTTTCGATCCAAGACATGAACGATCACGTTACAGTGTGCTTTTGCACCGGCCATATTAGTTGCAGCTACAGTCAAATTATAAAACTTTGTCTTCTCGTAGTCTAGCTCGTTCTTCACCACTATGATACCTGTACTCGGGTTCATGAAGAAGGTGTCGTCCTTGTTGCCACTGACAATCTCGAACTGCAGCGAGGATGTGCTTCTAGCTTCCACGTGCTTCACGTATGTACCTAACTGCTGATTCTCATAGATCTCAGCAGACAGTTCTTTCTGAATAAACCTAGGTGGAGCATTGTCAGCCATGGTGACCATCACGTGTATGGGTATAGTGTTGGTCAGCGCTGGAGAACCATGATCCGTTGCCTTCACCAGCAGTATATATTCCGAAGAAACGCTTAGGTCTAACTCTCGGGCTACGCGAATCATGCCTAGTTCTGGGTCTATCGTGAACATGTTACCCACGTTTCCAGATGTAATCGAATAGGTAATCTTGGCATTATCTCCTCTGTCTCTGTCTATGGCGTAGACTTGCACCACAGCAGCGCCAATCGGTGAAGATTCGAACACTTTCCCTTGGATGATCTCGCTAGTGAACTCCGGTGCATGGTCATTGTGGTCATGTACAGTTACTACAACTCTAGCGTAATTCCTCTTCGCAGGCGTCCCTTGATCCTTTACCATCACGGTGAGTACGTGCTCTTCGATGGTCTCTCGATCGAGAACTTCGTTCAGAGTAACGGCCCCTGACACTGAATCTACGTGGAAGATCTCCAAGGAAGCCTGATTCTGGGCGGCGTGGAGGCTATAGAACACCTTCTTGTCTTTATCCTCGTCGGTCGCGTGGAGCTGTAAAATCTTCTCGCCCTTTTCCACATTTTCTGAGATGTCCACGTGATAAACGCTCTCCGTGAATTCCGGTCGATGGTCATTGATGTCGATCACAGTAACCAGCAGTTGCGTCACAGCCGTTTGCACGCTATCTGTCACACGAATAGTCAGGTTGTAGAAGTTCTGCGTTTCCCAATCAAGTTTCTTTGCCAGCAGCACATTCCCGTTGTCTCGACCAATGAAGAATTCGTCTCGTGTGTTACCGTCTGCAAGTAAATCAAGGATTCTCTCGTTCGTTACTTTTGCTTTGCTACTGAGTTTTGTGATGTTCTAAAAAATTGTGTTAAAATTTTGAACTATCAAAATTTTATTTACAACAGATGTTCTTTCCAACAATTTGAATGAATTAAATGTGACTTTTCAATGTAAACGAGTACGACGTCTTTACGCTATTTGCCTAGTTTCAATATTTCTTTTTAAAAATTCGCCTTCTAGATAAAATTCACAGTTTCATAATTAAAACAAGAATTCGTGTCTCATTTAAAAATCGCGATTCATGGTAGTAATAGCACAGAGAACCATGGAATGGGATGGTACAATGAAAAGAAAATTAAACTGTTTTAGTATTCCCATTTCGAAATCTTAATAGATCCCTCGATATCTTATAATTTTAATGATGAGACATAAGTGTGCCTCGAACAGGTTGAGCCATTTGGTGGCGCGAAGTTTAACTATTACCTATGCGATCCAGCTGTGGAACTTTCCAACTTCGATCCCCCCAACTTGGAAAATGTTACTCTTGCTTCAGCTATTCCGGCCACTCGAATATATTTCAACGAAATCACTCGATATTTCGCCAATTAACAACAAGATATCGCGGCCGACGAATTCTAACGAGCTCTCAAACTCCGTTAGCATGGATACAACACTCGATGTAATTAGAGTTTGGTTTCTTAACGATACGAAAAAATAAATTAAATATCAGACGGAATGTATTTTACCGAATATTAAATATTCTTCTGTGACTCTTATTTTCCTAAAACTGCTATCAATATTCTTCTCGAATTCTTAGAAAGCCAGACTTACAAAAATAAACCAAGTTTTCTTTGTTCCGTAGAAATACCTTTCGCCTAAATACCATTAACATTTACAAATTTTCAAAGCTTAACAGCAATTATATAATAAATTATATAAATATGTAACACTGAAATAATAAATATGTGTATAAATATTTAATACAAAATGTTCACTATCAAGTTTTTATATAAAATTAGAAACGTTTGATACTCACCAATGATGTCATACCACAGCGAGTCACCATCTTTGTCCGTGGCCTGCACTAGCGCCACTAGGAACCTTACTTCGTCGCTCTCTGTGACCTCGACGCTTTGGTTCTTCGTCTTGAAGACTGGCGGATTCTCTGATTCCTTCGGAACCTCGATGACTTGCACGGACACTCGTGTTTGATGACTTCGCTGCGGTTCTCCACTGTCGGCGGCTCTTATCTGGCAAACAAAGGCGTAAGCGACCGAGTTAAACTTGAACTTAAATTGTATTAAGGGAACGATGCTCCGCGATCGGCCATGAATTATGGCTTCTGAAGCGTCCGTGTTGGATTTACAGTTTGTACAGTATACTTGCAACGCGGCCAATCCTTTGTGGTGAACACCGCTACGCCATGCGGTTAATATTTCAGTTTAATTCTTGCGTAAGCAGTTGTAAACCTATCATATGTAATTCACTGTCGCATTAAAATATTCTCTTTGGCTGGTGGTAAAAGTCGTTTGCTCCAGCTCGTGGAAATGTCAAGTTCAGTAAATTTTCAAAGACAATTTTACCGAATGTAAATTAGCGTGATAAAAATTAGTGTAAGTTTTGAACGATGTTAATGTGATGATCATTTGTGATTAAATGCAATTTCGTTGTATTGATTAAGAGTTGGAATTATTCGTAATATATGAACAATGAGGAGCAAATTCATAGATTTCGATTAATTTCAGGTACCTTGTGTTTTGTTTAAAACTTGTTTCTGGATAACCTCTAATTTAGTTATTATACTTTTCCATTTCTTTTCCTATTATTATTGAATGTACATTAGGTTATATTATAACTAGTTTCCCATGTTTAAAAATAACCACAGTTAATTTGGTTTTGCATATTTGGTATACTCGTTAAATTCAACAGTGTCTAATTTTCCATGTGGACTTAAAAAAATAACACGGTATATGCGTTAAAATACGCATATACGTGTATTCAAAGGAAACCAATGTGTTGTATGTGGCATTTACATTGGTAAATCCACAATTTTCTGTTCTGTTCTACTCACCATCATCTCGTATTCCTGTCCAGCTTCAAAGTCACGTTGGGAGTACACCATTCCCGTGGTGGGGTGGATTTTAAACTTCCCCTTGCCTCGGCCACCTTTGATACTGTACTGGATTTTCCCGTTATCACCGATGTCTTTATCGTTCGCGAGTACCTATCGTACAGTAACACAAACGATGAATGAAAAATTGACGTAGCAAACTAGTACACCCTTCCATTCTCATTCTCTACTAACATGGCTGTACACGACACAAAAGAGAACATTAGTATCGGCCATCGGCTGTATAAAAGGAAATAGAAAAAGAATCCCGAACGAATCGTAAAGTATCAAGCTGCTTCTAATAATAATGCTATTTAGAAACTGCGACCGCAAACTTCGCAAAAATAAGCCTCGAGATACCCTGTGTGTGTATATACAATGTGTCTATCATATTTAGCAACATCATGAAAATATTTCGAAAAATATGGCTGACAGAGAAAAATGTTTGAGACGAATGTTGCAGAATATCAAAGGGCACATAAATGTAGTAATGATATTTATTTGACTTTGCCATAATTTTCAGAAGTGACGAGAATGTCATGTTTCACTTTTCCAATGAGATATTTTTATGGCCGGCTTTAGAATGTATTTTAAATACTTTAGTTTATGGTTTCTGCAGAAATCAATACCACAATATAAGGTTTCAAAGTTGATATATTTTTAACATTGATATTACCCAATATACACCGCGAACAGATGGCGCCTCTAAATTTATACATATTAGGTCAGTTACGAAATAATATTGGTAGCCTTTTCTAAAATAAAAAACATTTTATTAAACAATGTGTTCGCTATTTTTACGTATAATTATTTTTCACATTGGGCTCACCCGAATAATTTCAATTGCTGTTTGATTATGTCCGGCAGACTGGGAACTCTGTTCTATTCTGCACAACAAACGCACATCATCAACCGTAAAGATTCGACAATACTCATTAGCCAACTGGATACATCATGGTGTCAACATGAACTCTGAAACTTCATAGTAGTTTTATAGGACTCGACAGAAATTTATGCGTTGGAAACAAATAACTGATGTTTAAAAAACAATTCGGTTAGAAGAATTTGTGCAAAAAGATATAGATTTCTGCCAGGAAATTTAAATTTGACCTTCACGACGATATTCATGTTTACCACAAGGTCAAATCGATATCAAATTATCTTCCTAGATCAATATTTATCAAGATATATAGATGTTGCCAAATTAAAACAAACACACTATACATATACTATATGTATACGTAATTACAAAATCTCCATACGCACTCGCACGTACACACGCAGGGTGTGAACGTCATAAAAATGAAAAAGCGTAACGCGTCTATAGCGGTCGACGAATGAAATCTAATATTCCAATCTAATACGAAGAAGAATTAAAGACAAAAAGAAAAAAATTCGAAATAAGAAGACAACTTACTTTTTCTAAAATATATCGCACACGCACACATACATCGTTCCCCCTCACTCTCTCTCTCTCTCTCTCTCTCTCCATCTCCCTCTCTCTCTCTCTCAATCAATCACTCACACCTCCATTTTCGCATTCGCTCTTACTCCCTCGCTTTCAAGATCCACCAGTGAAACATTGCGCTCATGACCTCGAAGCATAGCATTCACACCGTCGACATCATGCGGTACGCGAAATGAATAAAAAAGAGAAAAGAGAGGGGTAAAAGAGTACAGGAAGAAAGAACAGAGGGGGTGGAGGAGACCCGGAGACCTGCACCCCCTCGAGCTGCCAAATATCGATCTGCATTAAAGCGTATTAAAACACAGGCAGCGCTCTTTCCGCCAACTGATCGAATGTGTGCGCGCGAGCGCGAGAACAGAGACGAGGGTTGGCGGTGTTCCGAAGCTGATGCACGCGCGGAACCGCGCGGAAAAATGTATCGTCGCCGGTTCATTAAATGGTGCTGGTTTTTAAGCCGGCGTTGGGCGCCATTTTCTCCGCAACGAACATATTTCCCAGGTGTGCTCGGAGCTCATTATCGGTTCCCATGTTTTCTGACCCACGATATTTTTCGCGCTACCCCGCGAGGGCGCCCCTTTCACAGAGGGGCTCTTCGTTTGAGGTTCGATTTGATTAAAGCACTTTTAGGTCATCAGGTAAGCAGAGTGGATTTTCGATTGATGCATCAAGTTAAAAGCGTTATTTGGTAGGGAATTGGGGTTAGGTTTCTTTGAACATTTGCGGTATGGATAACTTGCCCGATGGACGATAAATTCGAAAATCGTTTCGATTGATGAATTCACCGAATTTTCGGCATTTCAAAGGGTACCACAATTTTTTCTTCTAAGTTTGAACATTGCACTATGGTTTCGTTTTATAGTCTTGAACGGTAGTGAAAGATGTGTAGAAAGAGAAATGTTCATATAATAATAAATAGTCATAAATTAAAATAGGAAGAACAAATATCTAATAATCACAAAAGGATTAACATGAAAAAAGTTGTAATTTAAAAAAAGCGAAAGAAATATATTGAATTATTCTTGGAGGTAGGGGTAGTAATAGAGCCCTCTATTTTTACATTCCTTTTTAGAACTTACTTTGTAAGTTAAATTTGTTTTATACATTGTTGGCAATTTTATTTTTTTCATAAGATGTGAAAAAGAAATTGCAATAAATTTATTGTGTATTATGAAATTTCTAATAATTTTTGTGACAGGAATTACAAAAATATGGATCCTTAGTATATTTTACTGTAAGTGCTATTGTTTATGTATAAAATTATCTCACACCTACATTTAAAGACTATGAATTTCCAAAATGATGATGAATATACTCAGAATTATAGTGAAACGTTCCTACATAGTAACACCATAGAGTATGTCAGTAAGGCCTTGTTTCACATTTATAACCACTTAACCGGGATGGTGATTAATCAGGAACTTCCGCGAACGCGAGATTAAATGTTAATAAAGAGAAATCAATTTTAATTAGATTTAACAGATTCTTAACAGTAACGAAACGACGCAGCGGAGAACGGGGGATTCCCCGACTCGCCCTTCTAGTTAGCGGATACAAGACAATGGCGGGATTCGAGAAACTCGAGCTAAAATTCCTAACAAGACATTCTGTGTGGTTGCTGGGTGATAAATATAACTGGAATGACCTAAAGCGATTTTCATTCTCTATGCAGCACCGTTTAATTCGTGGGAAAGAAAACTGGTCTCCTACGAGCATTCCCTTTCGTTCCATTCTTTTACCATTTCCGTGTCATGCTCTCGTATTTAGCAGGCTAAATACGCCGCTGCGGCTCTTATTAGTTACGAAGGAAAAAACGGAAAACGATCAGGCGACAGCTCCGTACAGACAGATGCAAACATTCAAGAACATAATACGTATATACAGACAAAGAAACGAGCAAAACGGGCAAAACGCGGTGAACAGTTCGAGACACATACACAGGGATGAGGAAAAAAGACAGTAGAGGATTGCGCTTGGTACGACACTGAGCAAACATCTCGTTAAATATCAGTACAAACTTTGGTCATGTTCCACGTAACATTTTTATTTGGCTTCACTAAGGTTCCCTTAGAACACCACACTACTAAAGATAATTTGAAAAACTGGTATTATCCCTTCGAAGCTGTTTCAAGTACAGTAGAACCTCGATTATCCGATATCTCTATTATCTGAACCTAAATATTTAAATTCAAATTGGTCCATACATTGAATTATCAAAAAATTTGCTCATCCGGACACATCCATATATCACCCAATTAATTTGGATAATCGAGGTCCTACTGTATTCGATAGTCGACTGATGCGAAAATTCACCAGAGGCATCGAGATTTTATATCCGGGATAGGGTTCCAGCTAAAAGGTTCTTTAGGGATAATTAAGCCATCGAGTTTTCTTTCGAACGCATTAGAAATACCGTGGCATATCGAATTCTTGCTTCTCTTCTCGAGAAAGAGAGCATTGAACTCTGAATGCAATTAAGAAGCCGGTAGGCACTTGATACTTAATAACTCGGGGAGATAAATTCCACTCTCGACCCAAATCCCCGGACAGCTACGAATGAGCCTCAATTACCCGGGGTTCAGCGTACGAAGTAGCAGCAGTGGTTCGCGTTCATTGAAAACCAACCTTTTTTCCTTCCCCCACTCCTTCGGTGTTGCATGAAGTTCGCTCAGAGTCGCATGGTGCGCGTTTACAGACTCTTCGGGTGTACAAAAAGAAGGGTTGCATCGGGCAAAAGGGACAAAAGACGATCGATCAAGTAGTAGACGGAATGCATGGCGGTTCCTATTTAAAAAAACGGGCACAGAGCGGGGTTGCATGAGAATGCAGTATCATATTAAGAACGAACGTTACAGTCGATATATATGTATAGATATATATATATAAAAGCGGGTTATAAATCAATGCACAAGAGCTCGCGTAAACTACCCGAGACCAATTTTGCGTTTAACGCGGAAATTATTTATGCTCCCGGGCCACGAGACGGCGACTTTAGTGTTTTACGTGCCAGCGGTGTCCTTACCCTGAAGATAGGATCTCCTGACAAGCTGTCGGGGCTAAATGTCTCCCAAGTTCCATTCTCTAGTAACGTATCGATCAAAAGGTCGGACTCCCGCGAGCGGTTCCTCGATTTCTGTCGAGAACGAGAGAAGGAAGCCTTTTAACTTTCGCATTATCTCCGCTAATTCGCTTTCATCCCTCTGCATCGAGTGTCTCTTTTCCTGCCTCGACAAACTGATCCGGCCAGTCGACTTTATCGAACTGACTAACCTCACGGAACTATCCTGCTCTCGGCCACGCGAGAGACATCTGTCGAAGGTACGATCAACGACGTTCCACCAACTGCGGATTTGTTTTCACGTCACTCAAATAGATCGCGCTTTGTCTCGATCCTTGACCTACGTTTTCCAATCCTTTGTTCCACTGTTATGATTTCTTCGACGCTTCGATTATACTAGTTTTTTTTCTATTTTTGTTTTCCGATATTATCGAGAATATCGGACGGAAAGTGAAGCTCGTAATGCACGGTGACCGACCGAAATTATGAAAACGAACAGCCGTAACTTGATATCCAGTGAAATCGAATCTGATCTCGACGAAATTCGACGCTGACGTGGAATTATATTAAATATTCCCGGCATATTGCGAAAGCTATTGTCACTGTTGACGTCAGGTTAATTAGGTTTCTCTTCCTGCTGCCTTCTGTCGATAATGTCATCTATTACTTCATTTTCCTCTACGATTTTCGAATTATGCAAATATTTAACGTACTCCGAGTATACGCGTAATAATATAATTCTCGGATTTGAACACTAAATGGATAAGCCTATGCAAATGAAACGAATTATCATAGTTTGAAAATGATTAGAGGTAACGTAAAATGAAATTGTTAAATGCTCGTTGGTTTCAAATAATTATATAATTTAATGTAAAAGCTACAGCTTCCGAAAAAGTTTGATATGTGAAAGATACACCCTTTCATTTCTTTTTGGGCCATTTAAAAGTAGTAATGTATGCTAGTGCTAGCAATTTATATTTCAATATTTTTCTCTGATATTAAATATCAAACAATGAAATTAGTATTAATTATTTATATATTGTATGAAATCAGAATAATTGTAATAAATGAATTAAAATACGTGACATTTAATAAGTACGTGAATATTTTCTGAAATTACTCCCTTGGGATTAGCAGAGGCAACGCTCCCATTGACTCTCATTCCATTCGCTATTTTACTTCAATACTATTTGGTCTGGTGCTTGAGAGAATGTAACATTCTACAAACAAAATACTAAAGAAACGTATAAAATTTTTAACTAGCGTGAAATTTGTTGCATCATTATGCAGCACCGTGAAAAAGACTTGGAATAACACAAGGTATTTCCTACTATGCTTAATGCTATTTTAAAACTCTTGAAACTTGCAGTACGTTACAGAGGCCATAGAACAATTTGTAACATTGCGTAGCCTTGTTTCTGAACTTTTGTAGTTCGAGGAAAATTACATAACACAATAAAGTGCTTAAACTCGAGTTTGAAAACTGTTATAATATCAATCCAGTTTCTCGAAGCAGTTTCAAAAAATCTACACCAGTTCCAGTAATTATAATGACACCATACAAAAATTCCATTTCGCTCAATCAACCTATGTTGTTTGAAAAACTTAAGCCGAAGTATATAACAACAAACCGAACGGAAAATTAATTCAATTCCACCTTCAATCGTAAAATAATCACCTCAATCCTATCGCCTGAGAAATACCAGATTGAAACCTAACCTAGATTGAAACCTAATACAAATGCGCTAAACGTAAGTGTATTTTCATCATTAAAAGGAAACTGATAAAAGTTAACTATCACGAAGTATCAACCAGTTATCGTTAATTAGCGTTCGAAGAAATCGTCCTAAAATGGCGTCCAACCTTCATGTTTCCAAACGAATAATAAAAACACGCGAAACATGAAGTCGAGGTCAGAATCGATTGTCGATTCTCAGGACAACGGTGGACCAAGGCATCGTTACAAAGGGAACTCGTTAGCACGACTTCCGTTGTCAGGAACCTGAAGTTGTTGACGCATGAAACGCGCCACCACGTAACCAGGGGTGTATCTTCTCGCCGTAAATCCGAACGACAAGTCTGCAGGAGTAGTAAGGTGTTCGTGTGCTAAATCTCTCTACCTTTTCTCGCTGCGATGGCCGCTGGTAAGTTACTTTGATCACGTCGAGAACAAGAGATGACTCGAAGAGGGAACACGTTTGATAACGAGAGATCGACCCTTTTTTTCTTCCAATTTTCCCTATTTTTTCTTTCTTTTCCGTCTTCGCGTATCTCACGTTTGACTTCGCCTAGATCCCGAGATCGCGATCGTTACGCGAGCGATATATGCGGCTTGGTCGTCCCGGACAAGGCGCACAAAATTAAGACAGTTTCCAAGCAATTACCAACAAATGAGTGGGGTTGGGAGACGATGTTTCGGTATCGATACAACTGGGTCTGTTGGAAGACTTTGGCTCTCTTTAGAGAAAAGCGTGAGGTGACTTGAGTGAGGTGAGGCATTTTCAGACGCTTTGATTGTGAGCTGTGACCAGAGCGGAGAGCGAAGCTAGTCTTATTAGCTGAAGTGAACGCTAATGATTTGTGGAGACGAATTGGTATCACGAGTTCAAGCAAATTCATATAATTAATTTACAGGACTTAATTAATTTTTCAGATGAACGCTGATTTCGTGATTTGAGTATTACCCTCTATGCCAGTGATACCGTGCTAACAAAGTTACAGATAAGATACAGAGAGCCTGGTTTCGTTGGTGTTTGGTTATAAGCAAAATGGAGTTGTTAGACTCATTGACTGCTTAGGCGATAAAGTAACAGAAGAGTGTCTCAAATTAAACTGTCTCGAATTACATTGGACACTGATTAAATCCAATAAATGTTAGGTTAGAATGCCTGCTTTATACTATAATAAACTTGTCGATGGTATCAAGTACTTAACTCAGCGATAAAATTACAGAAAAATGACTGTAACTCAATAGTCTCCAATTACATTCGATAAGTTCAACAATCGTAAAATTATCCATGCTCTCTTTCTTTCTACTCTCTCCTTCTCTCTCTTGGACCAAGTTTATTATCATGATTCCAGGAATTGTGTTACGCTTTTAGCGTTCACTTCTGGCCAGCTTGCAATCAGCGCAAGGGAAGCACGCGAGTCGAAACCACGAACATGGAAAAGAATAATACTTCCATAAGTTTCGAATTATCCACAGTTGGAACTAAATTCTACAGAGCTTTCGAGTTCTCGAAACACGCGGTTCCCTTTGGTCTGACATACGTACATTTGGACGAGTGGTACTCCTGTCGAGGGGACGAGGGTGTTTCTCCACGAGCGAACGTATAATATATACAACAAGATACGAGGGATTACTTCTACTTGGTGTACAAAGAGACAAAGAGAAAAACGGAAAGGGGCAGAATACAGACGGGCTCGCCGTCCGTTTCTCCAGTTACATCGAGGCTCGAAGAAAGTGGTGCGATGCCAGCTCCTAATTCTCAACTAGAAGGTTGGATAGAATTACGAAGATCGATTTGCTGTGGTTTCTGGGCGATAGCTTACCTGGAATAGAGGTTTGTCGGTGGATGGAGAGGCTGGAATCTGAACGGTATAGAACTTTTGCTCGAATTCTGGTCCATGGTCGTTTATGTCTGCTACTGCTATTACGACGCGAGTCGTCGAGAACAAAGACGGCCTTCCGTCATCTCTCACTGTTACCTGAAACAGAAAGTCGAGGTTTAAAAGATGTTGGAAACTGGTGATAATCGACGTGAAAAAATTGCTGATAAGAAACACAAATACATTGAGAAAAGTGAATCACTGAGTTTGCGTCATTCTTGATGCTCCTGCAGTTATTATTTTGCAGGATAAAATGAATGAAAATTTACATTATGATATAATATTTCTTCTGAGCAGTTGTAAAGCTAGCGTATATAGATTCTTGATGGTTTATAAAATTAAGATCCTGCCTGACTTTGAATCCAGAATTAGCACTAAGACCTCAGGACTGAGACTTAGGACCAGGAACTAAAATATAGTTTCCGAGACCTAAAATTCTGGACCTGATACTTAAAACTAAAAATGAAAGGCCTAGGGTATAACCTAATCTAACCTAACACAGGAGCTAAGACATAGAATCTAGAACTCAGGCTCTAGGATTCAGGAGTCGAAGATCAAAAAGCCCTGGAGTACGGAATCCACGATATAAGATTTAAGACTTAGGATATAATATTCAGAATCTAGGATCCAGATAGCAAAACCTCAAATCCAGAATCCGAACCTAAGCTGAACTGGCAGAATGTCTCCATGGGTCAACTAAAATGAATTCCATGAGTAAGTGTTCAGTTTACACATCTTGGGGTGCCATTTGGCAGCCTTCCACATATTTGGCGTGGTTCTTTAGGCATTTTCTGACGCATTCGAGGAATTTTAGACACTTCTGAATATGATATGTGTCGCTTACATGGACAATAGTTACTATAAGACCTTTTCACGAAGATTTCGTTAGATATAAAGTTACAAACGACGACGTGACTCGAAAATGAATGGAAAGAGTCACATTATCTCAAACTATGTTACTGAATTTAAGTCCTCAATTCATTCCTATAATGGATACGAATAATTCCACTGCAAACTCCATTTATGACAGTCATTTTGATTCTACTATTTCATTCCGTAACTATGACCGTATCGTGCAATTTATTTTAGACATTAACAAAAAATGTAGAAGTTGAAACAAAATAAGTGGGCGTTACAAATGCCTGAGTAGCATCTCCCGTAAAGAATTAAAGTAAAAAAATAAAATATTATATTTATTTCACTACAAAATCCTTTGTGGAAGTGAACATTCTAGATAGAAACTAGCAAGCCACTTTTCGAATGGAAGTGAAGCTTTACCAATTAAAGCTCGACAGTAAACCTTTATTAGTCAGCCTGTACAAGTCAACCGTTGCCAATCAGTGTCCAGGATAACTCAAGAACTTTGCCGAAACTAAATTCTACTAATCCCTAGGTAGACAAAGTTGTCTTACAGAGAAGGGTATTTGCATGCACAGTCCGCAATTCGGCATTGTATATACTTCAGCTGTCATAAAGTGATTAATCTTCCTAAGAAGGATTACCAATCTGTCAAAAAATGTCAATAATCCTCTGACAATATAGAAAATATTAATCATTATCTTTTTTTTAATATTTCGGACAATTTTATCGCATGTTTTATAAATTTAAGTTACTATTTGGAAAAAGTGGGGTCTCACCAATTTCGACGATTTTTGAATATGTTGTAGAAATCAACATTTTCAACAACTTTTTCCTGTACATATAACCGTCGCTCGGCCTTAGTTTCTGAGATTTTAGCAAAAAAGCCATTGCCACTATAATGAATATTGCCTATATCTACGTGTCTGTAATCTAGGTAACGTGTGTACTTAAAAACGATCGTTTTGAAAAAAAATCTCGGAAACCAAGACCGAGCGGCAGTTATATGTAGAGGGCAAAGTTGTTTAAAATGTTGATTTTATAACATAACTAAAAATCGTCGAAATCGGCGTGGCCCCACTTTTTCGTAGTAATGACCCAAACTTATTTTTCTATAGATACCAAATGTTTCTATGCTATGTTGTCTTGCGTTAAATGATTTCATAACTAAAGACATTCATATGCACTTGAAAATTTTATTAGGTTAGTTTTATTATCGGTATGGTACCGAAGACATAGCAAATCGTTATCTCCATCAGAACGAAATATATCACAAGGAAGCTACGAAAGTACAATCGTGACACGAATCGAACCTTTCCAATCCCAATTTATCGCAAGACGAAGCACGTGGAACATCCGATACTTTTAACCGATCCGGCGCAATATCTCGAAAACGTTTCCTGTCAGTATAAGTTTCCCCGTGCAGTCTAACACGGTCTCCCTTTTCTTTTATCTCACTTATCGCGGCCGTTACCCTTATACCGCACACTTTCCACTTCCGTCGCTGTTGGCGCCGCGGAATCTCGGCTTTTCGTTCGTGAATATCGCGCGCGACGATCTGCACAATCGGCACGGCTGACCGGTTCCGTCCCACAGTCGTAAATGTAAAGGGCCGACGAAATCTCGAAGGGGACCGGGAGGAAACTTATTCCTTCGACATGAAAAGGTTCCTGCGAAGATAAGGACCTCCGCAGTCTAGCCGATTGCGCTTACGTATGAAATCGAAAACTATTCATCTTTCAAAGGAAATATTTTCAATATTCGTTGCTATATATGTCCTTAATCTAATTAATCTTAACCTAATCAAAGCGACAGTATAATGTACCTAATGTTTTCTGTAACAAATTGTAATTTAACTGGGGGATAAAGAAAAAGGAAAAGAAAACTAATGTAACATCATTAAACCCAGGATGGTATTTCTTTCATGAATCCATCCACTAACTCTTCAGAAGTTCGAGTACATCTTCGTTAATCTATATCCAAATAAAACAACTTCTCTTCTGCCGTTCACTATCGGATTCCGAATCAAATTCGAACGGCCTTTAGAAATTCACGAAGAACTTGCATCGACCAGTTCTTCGTTTCAACAGCGATTTTCACGGAAACCGTCCTATCGTCGCGTTATTTGAAGTTCAAATAAGGGAGGACGAGCGAGAAGGAGTTGGCAACAGCGCGACCAAATAGCTACGAAGATGGCGCTGCGAGCGGCGGAGGCAAGAAGAAACGTCAGCGAGCTGATCGGAAGGACTCCGTGCACATAGAAGGGACAAAGTTTTATCGAATTTAGAAAATGTTCAATCGCGAGCTGTCATGGCCAGATCCAGGGGATAGTTTAATTACTTGGACCGGTTGTTTCGGCTCGACCAAGAACGTGACCGTTTTCGTTTATACGGGCTCCACGGTTTTACATGTTGGCATATCCTCGTAAAAAATATCTTGAGTGTGATACGTCGAGAGAAAGAGAGATAGTGCATCGACCACATAGCTAGTTGTGTCTGGTATATCGATAAACCGATATTGGGTTATCAATTATTCTCAGCCCATATTGGTCCAGACGGAATTCGCCACATCGAGAATTAAGGAACGTATTCGCTTATCGCTACGCCCGTTCAGGTGTTGAGACGAATTTTTCCTCGTTCGCGGTAATGTTCCTCTTCCCTTTGTTCCTTTTGACATTCATCCTTCCTCCATCCCGTCTTTCTATCCACCCTATCACCATACCCTTTATTGTGGTTCAACGCGTTTCAATTATGTCCGCGATATGAAGCACTTTCAACAAAATTATTTACACGGTCAGCCTTATTCTTTCAACATCCTTGTCGATCGATATTTAGTCACATCCACTGGCCAGGAATGTAGAAAGCCAGCAGCACTCGGTGCTCGTAGGCTTGAATTCGAGACATCTAGAATCCTCGCGTTCCATTTGATCGCTTCCTGCTCGATAACGCGAAAAATGAGTTTTATATATATATTAGAAAAATTGCTATCTCGCTGGCAAAAGAGGAAGAAGGGAAAGGAATACAGCTGCAGAAGAAGATATCACGGGTGGTGCTAGATTTTGAATGAATTTTTTTTATTCGTAGTTCGTGACGTCAAGAAGGTAAGGTAAAGTGTGCGGGAGTAGGGGGAGGGCGCTGTGTGTCCTCCGACTTGGAATTTAAGAGGGAGATCTTTGCAAGCATAAATTGGTCAGAGGATCCCTAGGGGAAGTCCACTTAATTCGACGCGGAAGCCTCGAAAAATCCCCAAAATAACGATCGTGGAATTAGAACGTTTTCCCTTGGCGGGGACGTAACAATTTTCATTAATTTGGCTCGGAAGGACAGGCTCGTTTTGAGGAAACGAGTAAATACTCCTGGGCGAGTATCGTAAACGACACTCGGTTTCACGGAAGTAAAGAAGTTATTGAGTCTTAATTAAACCATGAAGTCTCTCGAAATCTCTCTAAGGGACAAACTATTAAAGAGGAAGTTAGTTTAATACGGGAAAATAAAACATTTGGAGTTATGATTTTCATTGAAATCTTCCTGGAAAAACTAATCCCCACTACAATACCTTTTGTCATCATGCTTGTCCTTTTCTTTATTTCAATTTTGAATGAAATTCTCGCTTTTAAGACATGCATTCCTGATCTCCTTTTTCCTTTATCTTAATTTTAATTACATTAGGGGACACACTGTGATCAACAGGAATATTTTCATAGAAGAGTGATATCTGTACACTTAAAATTATTAGCATCTCAATTGTGGTTTTTATGAAATGTAATTGCGCATAATTAAAAGAGACTCTGTAATTTCCAATCGAATCGAGTAAAAGAATGCGTTCATTTTCAATCAGGAAAGTGTATTTATTTTACTATATACGCACAGCTTATGTCAGAATTTAGAGCAATCGATAGAGGAACGATTAAAAATTATTCCTTCACCTGCTTAAAGGAAAATTGAAAAACTCTCTGGAAGGAGGACATTTCTCAAGATAGATCTTTTAATTAGTATTTCACATTTATATCCTATAGTCTTCATCACGATTTCATTCCAAAAAGAAGTTTCAACTTTGAACATCTAGAAACACGATTGTAGTAGATGAATCATCCCTCCAGAGATCATAATTATTTTACATACGTAACCAATTGAGATTTAGATTGGTTTGATTTCAGATTAATTTCACATTCAGGAAACTTCGACTCTAATACGACCCATTGCTAAAACTTCTCAATGGCCTTTGGACTGATTTATCTCCCA